TTTCTGGAGTGAGGTGGAATCTCAGCATTGTTTTCATTTGCATCTCTTGAATGACCAGTGATGTTGAACATTTTTTCATAGGTTTATTTGCTATTTCTACTACTTTGTCTGAGAAATGTCTGTTCATTTCAGATGCCCATTTGTGGATTGGGTCTTTAAACTTGGAAGGTCTAATTTTTTGAAATTCTTTATAGATTCGAGATAGTAGACCTTTGTCTGAGGTACAGCAGGTGAAAATTTTTTCCTGTTATGGGGTTAAGGGTTTGTCAATTTTGTTTATTCTTTTGAAGAACCAACTCTTGGCTTCACTGATTTTTTGGTATCATTCTCTTAGTCTCCATTGCATTGATTTCTGTTTCGATCTTTATAATTTCTTCCATTGTATGAACTTTGGGTTTGTCCTGCTCTTCTTTTTCTAGAAGCTTGAGGTTCAGCGTCAGGTTGTTTAATTGGGCTCTCTCTGTTTTCCTAGTATGAGTATTCACTGCTATGAATTTCTCTCGTAAGACTGCTTTCATTGTGTCCCATAAATTCTGATATGTTGTATTGTCATTTAATTGTAGGAACTGTCTGATTTCTTCAATTTCCTCTGTGACCCATTGGTTATTCAGAAGCATGTTGTTCAATTGCCATGTGTTTATGAAATTTTTAGGGTTTCTTTTGGTATTGATCTCCAATTTCAATATACAGGGGATAACTTCAATTCCTTTGCACTTAAACATGTTTTATGAGTGAGTATGTGGTCTATTTTGGAGAAAAACCCATGTGCAGCTGAAAAGAATGTGTATTCTGATTTTGTAGGGTGGAATACTCTGTAAACATCTGTTAAGTTCATTTGTTCAAGAGTTTGAGTTCTACTATTTCATTGTTTATTTTTTGTGTAGTTGATCTATCTGTTTGTGACAGTGGGGTATTGAGGTCCCCCACTATTGTATTAGTGCTTATTTGATTTTTTATGTCCATTAGTATTTGCTTTATATAGTGGGGTGCACTAGTGTTTTTTATATATATATAAATGATTGTCATCTCTTCCTCTTGGATTGTTCCCTTTACAAGGATGTAGTGTCCTTCTTTGTCTCTCTTAATCAGTGTTGGTTTGGAATACACTTGATCTGCAAAGAAGATAGCTACTCCTGCTTTTTGGGGGTTCTTGTTGCATGGAGTATTGTTTTCCACTCTTTTACTTTCAGTCTATGAATTTCTTTTTTGATTAAGCATGTTTCTTGTATGCAGCATATTGTTGGATCTTGCTTCCTGACCCATTCTGCCAGTCTATTTCTTTTGGTTGGTGAATTGAGACCATTAACATCGATGGTTATAACTGATATGTATTGAGTTATTATTGTTATGACTTTTTCTTTTTGTTGGATTCTCCCCCTTTGCATTTAGTTTCTTGTCACACCCAATGGATTCATTCTGCTTTGCTTCCTGGGGTTGTGATCCTCATCTTTTCCTAAGATATTGTCTAAAAATTTTTGGAGTGCTGGTTTGGTATTCATGAAGTTCCTCAGGTGCTCTTTGTCATGACAGTATCTTATTTGTCCATCAATTTTGAAAGATAGTTTTGCAGGATACATCAATCTGGAGGCTGTTTTCCTTTAGGGCTTGAAATACATCACTCCAAGCTCTTCTTGTCTTGAAGGTTTGCATTGAGGAGTCTGCTGTGATTCTGATGGGCTTTCCTTTGTATGTGATTTGTTTCTTTTCTCTAACTGCTTGTAGAA